CGAGGCATGCAATGTTTTTCTCTGAGTCAGAGGGATGAATGACAGAGCTGTGATGTGGGCTGGATGAGTTGAAATGTCCATTTTGAAATTACAGGCAGCTTAGTCGAGGGAGGGAGATGAACTTGTTTTTGTTCTGGCTCATTGCAGCAGCAGAAACTTCGCTCTCAGCTCCGAAATAAGAGGCCACAACAACGTGTGTTCAGCTTTAACAGTTTTCCAAAGGAAAACCTCTTCTGCATCTTATGACCTATCTTATCTTTCTACTTTCTGCTTTGCCGTCTGCTTTGATCTGCTTTGCAAAGCCTATGACTAGGAGGCCAGGATAGGACTTATTGGGAATTCCCTCTCCTAAGCCCTCTCCCAAGCCGAGCCTACTTTGCCAGTGATTCCAATGTACCCCACAGAGGTGACTTTCGGCTTTTCGGCTGATTCAGAATCAGAATCAGACATACATTAATAATCCCAGAGGGAAATTACAGTTTCAGTACAACCGTTAGTCACAATACATTACATAGATTAAGATACGAATTAACTGAGGCCAAGCTGCCAGGTTTCTACTGGTTACCTGGCTGCCCGCAGGTCCAGGCAGTTACCTAGCGCTGCCATTGTCTCTGTGTAGGGTTGGGGCCACATTGAGGAAGAGAGGGGAAAAAACATATTTCACAGTTTATCCTTGACAGGGTACAGTTTCAGATATCAAAAAACCTCACACAAGAGTTAGAACCTTTTAGGAGCCTGTGTTTATGGGCATACAGATTTTATAACTCCACTCCGTTTTAATCCTCCAGGTTTGTTTTTTTCTGCTTTTTCTTCTTCCTGCTTTTTTGCTCAGAAAAACAGAAAGCCTCAGAGGTACCACTGCAGAGAGATATCTGGAAGAGAGAGATTGTTAATCTCTGGTGGGTTTTCATTCTACACACCTGTTGACTGATTATCTGATGGACTTAGAAACATCTCCAGCTGCTGAATGAGATTCCATATTTGTGGACAAAGGTTACTCTTTTTCCCTGATGAAACAAACAGGATGTGTTTCTGGCCTCTTGACCTGACCATCAGGAACAGATCCTAGCAGAAGATCATTTGCTTTCCCAACAGTTCAGCAGACCTCCAGCCTTCCTTTGTCAGAGTTTATGAGCTGCAGTGATCTGTGCAGCCAGTTAACACAGCCCAAAATCAGCCCGCTTCACAAGCTGTAATCTCCCATCACATATATAATGTAGACTGACAGAAATGGAGACTTTCCTGTCTGTAAATCAGGGCTGTGTTTAGCTGTTTGCCTGTTTAGAGGATATTTCTGAGAATGTTTTTTTTTTAGTGGATTGGATGTTGGTGTGAATTCAGTGGACGGAATAATGGAAATTCCTTGAGGTTTCAGTGCATAATCTGTGGCCGGGTTCATGAGTGGGAACCATGTCTCAGGGAGGATATAACAGGCTCTGCACAGGCCTCTTTATGTATAATTGTGTCTTCAAAGCAGTGGCTTTGTTTCAGTCTCCGGCTTTAAGGCCCATTTTCTGTTGCAGATATTTGAAGCTTTTAAGGCCGTCTTCATGGAGCTAATTTAACTTCCTGTTTCTTTCTCCCTCTGGGTTCTGGACCCTACAGGAAGAGGACTTTATGGAGATGTTGAACTCTGCTTAGATAATGTAGAGTCAGTAGAGTCATATGCTTGAGAAGGTCATAGTGAACGATGACCTCACTACGGCCTTCAGAGAGCTGCAGTTGGTGCTGAAGCAAGTGGAGACAGATACACACTGGGTTCCAGTCAGCTGGACTCACTCCTGAGATCAACACTGACTGGGAAGCTAAAACTGATCTTTTAACTTTGGGTCAAGTTGAATTCAGAACTCAGCTGCTTGTCTGGTTGGGATCTCCAGGTTAGATAAAGCCTGAGGGTTTACCGCTTCTGTCTTAATGTGGCTCAGGAAGCATATCTGGATCACACATCACCGACCTGGAATGTTGAACAATCTGGACCTTCATAGAACCAGCGGTTCCTCCGGCATAAGAAAACTAGGACTCCATCTTTAGGGTGTTTAAAACATTAAACCTGTAGAAAACCAAAGGGAATAATGTTTTTCTGTTTGGTAGATGGTTTAGAACTGATATCAGTAAAGAAACTTTGGGAGAAAACAGGGATAAATGAACAAGCAAACATGTCTTCTGTCTTATTTCTGTGCTTCTAAAGAACTTTAGTGACTGTTGGTCCAAATGGAAACCCTCCAGCTACTCTCTCTAGAAATGGCAACAACTGTCATATTTAAATGGAAATTAATATGTTTTCTATACATTTTAAGTACTTTTAAAATACTTTTTATAAAAATTTTTCACTTTAAGGGAAACGTGATATTAGCTGTAGCCCATCTTTCTTACTAACAGCAGAAACATCTCTTCATTCATTGAAGTGTTAAGACATGATTTTTCCAGCCTGGTTTTCTCCTACAAAGCTTCTCAAGAGTTATTTATTTAGCTGTTGTATGTTCCACCCTGGAGCTGTTTGAAATCAGTCCAGCAGACCAGCTTTGTCATTTATAGAACTGAGCACATCGGCCTTTAACAAGAACGTTTCACTATTTGTTTTATTAGGGTGGAGTTTTTATTTTTATTCATATAAACATGGTTTCAGTGAGGCTGCTAACAGCGGCTCAGCAGCAGATTTCAGGACCTTCAGGAAGTAGCTGCTCCTGATTTTATTAGCATCAGACGTTTATTAAAAGAGTCACTCAGTCTTACTGACTCATACTTAGTTTCTATGCACTTTTTTCTAAGCATGTATCAAAGAAACACTTTCATTTCTTTTGAAATGGTTTCTTAATTAAAAGTTTTCTCCATTGATGGTTTTGTTTAGTTAATGTAATTTTTATGTAAACAGACCAAACTTTTCCATGACGGTTGGGCCCTGACCTACAGCTGTCCACGACTGATGTGATAACGTATCTAAATGATTGATCAGTGCTTCCAGAGTTTATTACTTAATTTATTTTTACCTTTATGACACCTGGTCTATTGATCAGAATCAGATTTGTAGTTTATACAAGAGAGGTTTTAAATCGTTTATGTAAATTATGGTGTTAATCGGGCAAGTCGTATGAAATTAGACAACATTTCTTATTAAAGGAAATTAAACTTATCTGATCTAATGTTGTGTTCTTTCTGTGTTTAAAAAGCTCATGATGATCTGTAAGGAAGAACAGAATTTTTCTGTTTAAATGAGCTCCTGATGGAGCGTCATCTTTGGTAATGGACCCACTGGTTCTGCTTCTTAGTTATTAGGAAAAGCTGTCAGCTTGTACCTTAAGGAGTGTGTTGCATCAGCCCAAATGTTGCCTTTGATTTGCTCCCAGTTGAAGATGACAGAAACATGTGTTCACAGATCAGATTAGTCAATGAGCAGACAGGATCAGCCACATATACCAAGGTACTTAAGATGACTGATGGGGCTTTTCTTAAAACTTTACAGGTAATATGTTAGATGGCACAGCCCAGTATAAGCACACAGATGGCAAGTTTTCAGCAATCTCCACTAAATTCAATGAAAGGAGGCCGCCTGGCCTTTACTGAGATAACAAATCCCTCATTTCTCCTTTCTTCATGTTTCTCTGACATCCTTTGAAAAGTGAGCTGCCATGTGAGAAAAGACCAGCCAATGACTCGTCGGCTTGGTCCTGAACACCAAGAGCCACCAAATCAAAAAGCTTCTCCATATCTGTTTTTCCTCCTGTTTACTAAAATGGTATAACAGAACGCTCTGGAAGTCGGAAAATTGAGAGGAACTAAAGCTTGGCGGGTGTCTCAGATCAAGGAGAATCATGTTGCTCTGTAGTACACTCTGATGAGTCCCTTTCTGTGTTTGTGGGGTATTATATTCATGTCCATAAATCTCTGCAAAGTCGTTATTTAGAGAAGATGAAGCAGCCAGAGAAGCAGGGCAGGAGGAGAGGTGGTGGAAAAGTCAGAGCAGGCCAACTGAGTCTGAGAGACCTGCCATAGTGGCTCTTTGAACGTTCCCCTGATGCAATTAGAAACTATTAAACTGAAATATCTTCATCTCTTGTCTCAATACACTGCAATTCTTTTTATATATGACCCATATCCTAACCAGAGCTCAGTCTGAGAACCTATGTCTGGATAATAAGTCTGATTGTTCAGCATTAGCATAAGAAGAACTCAGTCTGTGGACTCCTGCTGAGAACTCTTCTGTTTTTTTTTTAAGAAGCAGACTTTCTATCTGAGGCTCCTGCTGCTCTTTGTCTGCTGTTTCTCTATCCTGCATTTTGCCCAGCCTTTCATGTGGTGACTCAGTGCATAACCTTTACTTTACCATTAGAGCCTGGGTAGCTCCATTTCCCTCATTCTCTGGTAAATGCTGTCCACCATAGGAGACTATGCTTCTGACAAATAGAGTGTCAGGCCTGGAGCTTCCTCCAATTCTGTGTTCTCCACCTCATCAGCCTCACCATCACCTCATGTTTGCAACCAAACATCTTTAGGCCTTGTAATCTGCAGCTGCATTTCTCATGCATTTGACACGTAAAACATTTTTTTTTCATCACAGGCTCAGAAGAACCATCGGGATCACATTATTCCCCGATTAATTCTGCTCTTCTGTACCAATGTGTGTCCAAGTCAGGTTAAAACCTCTTATCTGTGATGTTGCTGATGAGCTGTGAGAAAATGAGAACATCAGAAAAGTCTGTCCAGTCTGAGAGACATGCTGGAGAGATTCCTTCAATGTTCCTGAATCACATTTAGTAAACTGTAACATCCTTCAAGCAGCCACCTTAACATGGTGGGGTTGTTTGAGTGCCCAAATGATCCTAGGAGCGATGTTGTCCGGGGCATTATGTCCCTGGCAGGGTCTCCCATGGCATAAACGTCCTAGGTGATGGGTCAGACTAAGAGCAGCTCAGAAGACCCTTAGGAGAGAGTTAAATCAAGGACAGTGCGTCAACCCTTATGGCTCAGCCAGGGCCCCGTTCTGGAGCCAGGCCTTGGCTTGCATGGCTGTAGAGAAGTGGAACGTCACCTCGCTTGGCGAGAAGGAGCCTGAGTTTTTGCGGGAGGTTGGGAGGTACCAGCTAGATATAGTCAGGCTCACTTCCACAAACAGCTTGTGTTCTGGATCCCATCTCCTGGAGAGATGCTGGATGCTCTACTTATTTGTCGTTGCCTGCGGGAAGAGGTGGCGAGCCAGGGTGGCCTTGCTCATTGTCCTCAAGCTCAGTTTTCACATGGAGATCACCCCAGTGAATGAGAGGGTTGCGCCACTCCGCCTTCAGGTTGGGGACAAGTCTCTCGTGGTTATCTCGGCCTGCAGACCCAACATCGTTGCAGAGTACCCGGCCCTCTTGGAGTCCCTGGAAGGTGTTCTAGATGGTGTTCCAACTTGGGACCCCATTGTTCTAATGCGGGACTTAAATGTTTTTGGGGGTAGGGATTGTAAGACCTGGACTGTGGTGATTGGGGGTAATGGCCTCCCTGATCTGAACTCAAGCAGTGTTCTGCTATTGGACTTCTGTGCTAATCATAGTTTGTCCATAACAAACAGCATGTTTGAGCACAAGGGTGTCCATGTAGTTGTGTCATCTGATCTTCGGTCCCATAGTCACACACTCAGGTGAAGAGAGGGACTGAACTGTCAACCGATCACCAGCTGTTGGTGAGCTGGGTCCGCTGGCAGGGAAGGAAGCCGGTCAGAACTAAGCATGTTGTGACGAGTTTCTCCCAGATCTGGAGAAGGCATTCGACCATGTCCCTCGTGGTGCCCTGTAGAGGGTGCTCCAGGACTATAGGATCTGGGGCCCTCTGTTAAGGGCTGTCACTTCTCTATATGACCGCAGCAGGAGTTTGGATTATATTGCAGGCAGTAAGTCAGACCTGTTCATGGTGCATGTTAGTCTCCACCAGGGCTACCATTTGTCACCAGTTCTGGTCATTGCATTTATGGACAGAATTTCTAGGCACAGCAAGGGACTGGACGGTATCCAGTTTTGGATGCTCAGGATATCATCTCTGCTCTTAGTAGACAATGTTGTGCTGTTGACCTCATCAAACCAGGACCTCCGGCGTGCAGTGTGAAGTGGCCGGGATGAGGATGAGCACCTCCAAATCTGAGGCCATGGTTCTCCTCCGGAGAAAGGTGGACTCGCTTCTTTAGGTCAGTGGAGAGTCCTTTTCTCAAGTGAAGGACTTCAAGTATCTTGGGGTTCCCACCCTCACCTATGGTCATATGATCTCTGTAATGACCAACAGGAAAAGATTGCGAATACAAGCAACCAGGTTTCCTTCAACTGGGTGGCTGCGCAGACCCTTTGAGATCGGGTGAGGAGCTCAGTTACCTGGGAGGAGCTTGAATTAGAGTCCTTGCTCCTCCACTTTGAAAGGAACCAGCTGAGGTGGCTCAGGCATCTATTTTGGATGCCTCCTGGACGCCTCCCTTGGGAGGTATTCCAGGCATGTCCTATTGGGAGGAGGCCTTGTGGCAGGCCAAGGACACACTGGAGCTTGCCTGATGTCTCTTTGGGGTCCCCCAGAGCAGCAGGAGGTGTGTGTGTGCGTCTGCTTAGACTGCTGCCTCTGCGACCTAACTCAGTATAAAACGGAAGAAAATGGATGGATGGATAACATCTTTACCCAGTTTGACAATTAAAGAGGAGACACTTAAAGGATTTATCAAAAAAATGTAAGATATTAACCTCTAATAAATTCACAGTAGATTCTACTTTTAAAATCCAACTATTAGTTTAAAACAACAAAAACCAAAACGTTATATTAAATTAAAAGCAGCAACAATAGCCTAGTCAAAGCCCAGACCTCAGTATGATGAGAGGCTTTAGTCGGACCTTTAAAGAGGTTTGCAGAGATGAATGTCTGCAGACCTTAGTGATCTGATGCAATATTTCAATGACTGCACCTAAGATTCCTTCACAACAACATCATAGACCGAGTAAAATCATCTAGAACATGACTTCAATTTTTTGCTGCTGCACTGCAAAAAAATTAAATCCAGATAAACAATTTCTTCCTAAAATAAATTCATTTTTCCTTGAATTGAGGTGGTGGAGACAATTTGCCAATGGAACAATACAATTTACACGTAAAATAAGAACAAACCACTGCATTGTCTTATTTCAAGTGGATATTATTTAGTTATCTTATTTAAAGAATAATAATACTCATTCCACTGGCAAATCATCTTATTTATCTGCTTATTTAGGGTAAATATACTTAATTTAAGAAATATTATATACTTAATTCTAGATTGTTGTTGCAGTGTGGAGGTGGTTTAACAACCTGCTGAGTCATGGGGTGCACTTACTATTTTCATGGTAGTAGTCTGGAAAGTGTTCATCAAATGGCTGCAATAGTATGCTCAAATGATTGAAGTCCCCATAAGTTAATGGAGCTGTTTTTGTCCATGTCTTCCTTTTAAATTAGGTTTTAAATCTCAATAATAATAAATGTCAAGTAATAATAACTAAAACGGTGCAGATTGTTTGATTTCATGTACTGAAGTCCTGCAAGGCTACACTTCATCAGACGATGAATCTCTGTAGTCTAAGAAAACAGAGGAGCACTTAGCCAACTGTGTGCATGAAAATGATAAATGAGTTGATGAAACCCAGAGGATAGATGGGATGTAGATCTGATCAACAGTGGAGACTTTGGAACACATTTAGACTTCACTTTGTTTGTTCCCCGAACCTCCCAACTCCTCCCTCTGTTTTAATAAAGGTCCATTCTCCTTTTAAATGGATCCATGAGGAAGAGCCAATGAAAGTGGGCTGTGATCTTCCCAGTAAAGAACCAGTGGTCCTCGGAGAAAATCAGTATATTATCTATGAAGCAGACAGCAGACTGTAGTACCAGGTTCTACTGAGGCCTGGCCGGTGGACAGAGACGAGATGTGCAAAAAGGTTGGTTCCATCCAACATGTTAAATGGACCAATCAGTCTGATTGTGAAAGAAACCATGTGGCAACATGCCTGAAGACCAACTAACCATGAAGCAGAACACCACTGCCAGGTAATAACAGTTCTAGACTCTAGCGTGAGGACTTTTGGACCTTTGAGGTGCAGATGAGGAAGAACAGCATTAGGTCATAATGAAATTAGTGAAGAAAGCAGCTTCTAATGTGTCAAAGTGTCAGAGAAAGATGTTTGGGGAATAATTAGGCAAAGGCAGCAGAACCAAAGGGAATCATCTAAATCCGGCATTCAGAACCTCCAGGTCAGGTCTTAGTAAGTGTTGATAGGTGTTGGTAGGGAGTGGTTCTGCAGCAACTAGGGAGCTTTTAGGTTTTTGGACTTATGAGTGATGTTCCACTGAGACTGGTTTACCACTAGTTAGAGGATGAGGAAGTTGAGCTCTGCTTTGTAGAACTTGAAGCTTTCTGAAGAGGGGAGATGTTCTCAGTCCAAAGTCTGGCTGCTTGGTGCTCTGACCTCTGCTGAGGGATCTCCTTCATCTGGGATTCTGCTTCCAGGCTAAAACTAAGCCCTATTTCGTCCACGCAGAGGGACTCACACACCGGCTACCGACAGGCAGATTGGTCATTCAGCTACAGTGTTAGCTTTGGAAAAAACTCAGAGTCTGGCTGTCTGGGACCATTCAACACTTGTATAGAAATGTCTTCCAGTGTTCTTAAACACCAAAGTGGTCAGAGAATTATTCCCTGAGAGCTGGTTTAGTTTTTGTATAACTGGAATCATTCCTGTTTGGGCCTAATGGGTCACTGCTAGGTATTATCTAAGGATCAGATTCTGCCTTTTTGCTTTAGATTGCAGCTTTAAGAAAGGAAAGAAATGCCTCAGTCAAGATGTTGAGATCTACAACGCTTTTAATCTGATTAAACATAACATGTTTTGTGTTACTTTTAGCTTTCCCTTCTAATTATAGAAACAATCATTTCCATTTGAGTCTTGGAATCTGCAGCTTCTTGGAAACAACTTCAAGGACACTAATGCCTCCAAAAAATGGCTTCAGTAAAAGTTGGAATAATTACATTTGAGCACATTGGCTTTTTTAGTGTTGAATGCATTTCTCCATTTGCCAGTAGATTTAGTTTCCTTGTAAAACACCCTTCCTGTGCAGCAACACAGTGGGCTGCAAGAAAATCAGATGAACTTGCTGTTTTAGAAATAAATTTCAGACCCAGATTTCTCCTGCTGTGAATGAAACACAGGTTAATGGAGGAGCATCAATTGTTCTCAGTCATGGACCTGTTCCAGCAGATGAGGCTGCATATTAGTAGCTATTCATAGTGGGGTCAACTGAGGCGCTTAAAGAAAACAACAGCTAATAGTCAAATATACAAGTTCTGCTTTGGAGAACATAAACTTTACCTCCCTAACTAAAACCTTCAATCTTAGCTCAGCTGACAAAATAACAGGAAGGAGGAGAAAAGCAGAAGCATAACTATTAGAAGCATCAATGTTTGGAATTAAAGCGTCCAACTATATGCTTCACTGTGGAACAAGAAAAGAACCCAAACAGAACAGAACATTTAGCTATCACAAAAATCTGCTATTAGGGAAAATTAGGGTTTCTAATTTAGATACAGTAATGATGGAGAGGAAACTAGAAACCAAAGCTCCCCGCATTTTTGTAATGGAGACCTTTTTTCCCATTACTAGATTGTGTTGATAAAATCTAATTATTGACAGTTTTAACTTTCTTTGCTCAGTACTGAAAAAAAGTAAAAAAAAAAATCAGAATTTATTACAATGGTCCTAGTCACCAGTGATTTAAATGATATTAAAGCAAATGAAGAAGAAATACCTGCTCTCCTCTCAGCCAACACCAGCCTGTAGGGAAGCATGGTGGTGGCGGTGATGAACCAAGTAAAAAGGTCTGGATATTGGTGCAGCCACCCTGCTCACAACAGTGAATTAATTCTCTGTGTTGAAAAAAATGAACACCACCAAAGCTAAAAAAAACGATTTTTTTACTGGAGATGAAAACAAAGCAAACTTATTTTTTATTAAGGATCAAAACTGAATAAAAAAAAGCTGTCTCCTGTCAAAATCGACTGTGTGCAGGAAAGTCTCTCTTCTCTTTTCATGCCTTTTACAGCAATGTGTCATTATTTCCCATTATTTCCCATTATATGTGTCATTATTCTTGGTGTCTTAAAGGTGTTACTAAGCAAAGGTCGCTGCATGTCGGAGTTCGTAGAGCTTAGAGGGACTCAGAGGGAGTCACTCTAAGACTTAGAGGGAAATATGAAGAGATGCTGCTGCCACACCACAAGAATATTTACTCTCCCAAATTAAATGATAGAGACAGAGGAGAGAGAAAAAGAAGGTAGGAAAAGTAGAAGAGGTGGGATAGTCAGGGCTTTTATTTTGGTGATCTGAATGTCTTCAAAAAGTAGAAGCAGCGGCTTTTTTCAAAAGCTCAGAAAGCCCCCAGATGTCTTCATCTAGTAAACAGGTCTAGATGGACCAGAGTCATCCTTACAGGAGCTTGTGTTTTTGTAGAGTTTGTTTCCATTGTTTCATATCCGTTTTTCTGTTTTAACATTTATTGACAACCTGCAGACCATGCACATCAGCCAATCAGAGCAGCTGAAAATATTCCACCTTAAGATAATATGTACGGTAATATATGTTTTATGGTGACATGATCTCATTCAACTTCCCTGGAATCATGTAAAATCTTTTATAAAACACCTCAACGATTTCAGGAAAAGGAGCCAAGTGTCTCTGAGCAGAATTGCAACCAAAACCAACAACAAGTGGTTTAACTCATGTGTGCAGACTTTGACGTTTGGTTTCTCCAGAAGCTTTATGGCCATAAATCTCTCATCCTTCTATATTTGACCAGAGTCCGTCCCCTTCATAGAAAGCAGTTGAACCAAGGGCTCAGCCCCTTTAAATACACATGAAACACATTATTCCAAAGCCACAATTGCAGGTCTGTGACTTTGAGAAGCCCAAGCAGTGATATGGAAATATTCACAGAGGTATCAGGGTTTGTTTGCTGAGGCTCATTTAGATCCGACCTGATTCTTTCTCATGTAGCCATCCTTATGTCTCCAGTTGGAAGAGGCATGCATTCATTTTAATTTGGGCTAAACCAACAATGAGAGATTCAGGAAGTTTGATCAGAACCTGATGTTTAAACCCTGACTTTGTTATGGTTTGAGCTGCAACCAGACCATACAATTTGAATACAGCGGCAATAACTTGTGCAATGTATAATGTGCAATTACTATTTGATACCCTGTGCATAGCCTGTTTCTCTATATTTGACACCCAGTGCAATAACTATATATATAAATATAAATATCCATCTATATAAATACCCATGTAAACACCCTGTGCAACAACAATGTATAATGATCCTACTATAAAAGAAGCTGTCATGTGTGAATGCACTGTATATACTGTAGATATCCATGCACCTTTTTCTTCCTTTGGCGCATTCTTCTCCTTTGACTATTTGAGCTGATGTAACAAGTACATTTCTCTAACGTGAAATCAATAAAGGCAATCAATCAATCAAAGAATCAATAGTTCTAGTCATGGTGAAAAAGAAGTCGACCCTCTTCCAGTTCAAATAGCTCTCTTATCGGGTCAGATTTTAAAACAATCTGAGTTGGTCAGTTTGCTGCTCTGAGGCACAGAGGAGTTTAACACGACGTCAGGATGGAAAGAAAACAGCAACGACTGCTGCTGCTGCAGATCAGACTAATAATAGTTAAAGCAGGTTTCACCCCTAAGTTACCAAAGTTTATAAGGTTGGAGCCTTTTTTTTCAATTGTTCTAAAACACAGAGGATTGTGGGAAAGAACAGACCTGTTTTTGGGAGTATTTTACAGCTGTAGGATGTGGACACACATATCTAGCACTAGCAGCTCCTTGCTCCAATGACCAGAGTCACCTTCATACATTCCTGCTTTAACCACACAGCCATGAGCCACAATGAACTGGATTTAACACAGAGTCTGGAAAAACAAGAGAACTCTTTGGAGGAAGAGACTCTGTGACTGAAACAAAGAGAACGGAGGCTGATTCTGGCTCCATCCAAACCAGGAACAGGAACAGTAGTCTGAGTCTGAGCACCTCCTCTTCATCATCACTCTGATTACTCTCAGTCCTTCTGTGTGTTTAATCTGAGCTTTAATGGACTGTTGGACACACTGTGGACAGATGCAAGCTGCAGGATGGTTCTGTGGGTCATCAAGCAGGTTTCCATGAAGTCCAATCAGAACCTGAGCTCATGCAGTGGAGAAAAAGCATGGAGAGCAGCCTGTGTTTATTATGCTGAATTAAGTTTTAGTCACAGAACATCTAAGAGAGAGCAGGAGCTTCTGCGCTCAGATTTGTTTTCCTTTGGAAAAGACCCAGTCTGGGAGATCCATCTATTTAATCTCTGCTTTAACAAACAGCAATTAGGCCAACTAATGAGACCTGGGTTAGATATATTAAGACCCTCGTTTATTCTGCTTTTTTCTCAACATTTTTACCCAGTCTTTAATCCGTCTTCTCTCTTTATTTTTCCTGTGCAAAGCCAGTCACATGCACAGACTTTAAATCAAACCTTAAGTTAACTCTCTGCTGTGTCTGAGCTCTGTTTCCTCCAGCTCTCCACATTAACTCCAGCAGCCCCTTGCATGTTTTCAGAACTTCCTCCAAGGAAAATACCTGCAGAAGGAGGAAATCTCATAAATTCACGTTTCTAACAACAACAGCATCAAGAACAGTTTGTCTTTTTACTGTAGTAGAGCTGAAAGACTAATTCACATTCTGACCTGATCTGACTGATACCTAAAAACTGTGGAGACAAAGAGGTTCCACCTGCTTTGACTTTGTCAACAAATAAACCTAAATACATGTGGTTATTTCTGCTGGCAGACAGAGAGCCAAAGGGATCAGAACCAGAAGAAAACTCTTAATTTACTGATCATTAGAAAGAGTTCCCGCCCAGAGAAAAAGTTCTCTGGGCGGGACAACATGAATGGAGAGGAGGGTTGGAAGCAGAAAGGTTGATGAAGACTGAAGATGTCTCCTTCTTTCTGCTGCATATCAGCGAGGCTGGTTTCAGTGTGTAAAATAAAGAGAGTTCAGATAATTTTGCCTGGTTCACTGCCTTAAACACAGAACACCTCAGCTTTGGTTCTCATCCTCCTCAAACTGGAGAAAGTGTTAGAAAATCTGCTTCCTGGATAGAGGACACTGAGATGGAAGATCTGCAGAAGAATTTCTCTTTTCGCTCTGGAGCAAAACCTTCCAGCCTAAATAACTGTGACCTGAGTGAACCTGTGTGTCTAAACAGAGAGCGTGAACACAGACAGAATATGTTCAGTCTTCAGTGTTTATCTGCAGGACAGAGCCAAACCAGGAGTCAGAGAGGAAACAGGCTGTGAAATATGAGCTCAGCTCAGAGATTTTAGGAACACATTTAATGACTTTATTTTCAGGTTTCCTGCCACAGCATTTCAGGCACATATGAAGAAGCTGGTTTCCTACATGTTCCAGGGCAGCTTTGCTCCACATAAAGGCAGGGGTGGGTAGAGTACCCAAAAAAGTTCACTCAAGTAAGAGTAGGACTACTTTATCATATGTATACTCACTAAAACTAACTAAAACAACTAAAAGAAAGTAGTCATCCAAGAAGTTAAAGTAAAAACTACTTGGTCAAAGGTATGTTTAAGTACTAAGTAGTTGTTGGCGTGTAACGTCTGATTTAATTATTTAAATTATGTAAAAATTCTGTTCCACAATCCGACGTCTTGGCAGGGGGAAGCTGTGCAGTACCAACACTATTTATAGTAAGGGTGGTGTGCTGCTGACCTCGACTCGGGGCATCACATGTCGGTGGGCGGAGTTCTTCGAAGACCTCCTTAATCCCATCAACATGTCTCCCATTGAGGAAGCAGAGCATGGGGCCTCTGGGTCAGGTTGTCCGATCTCTGGTACTGAGGTCATTGTGGTGGTTAAAAAGCACCTTGGTGGCAAGGCCCCGGGGGGGATGAGATTCTCCCTGAGTACCTTAAGGCGCTCAATGTTGTTTTGCTGTGGTTAATGCGACTCTGCAACATTTTGTGGACATTAGTGGCAGTTCCCCTGGATTAGCAGACTGAGGTGTTGGTCCCCCTATTTAAAAAACTTAAGCCTCCCTTAAAGGAATAGTACACCCAAAACATGATTAGCCTTCATTTTCTACTCACCCCCATGCTGAACAACACTCTGGAGTACTTTTTTGATATCTCAAATGCATCTGGAGATCTGGGAGGCTTCTTGCTGTCTGCTGACATTCAAATAATGGAGGTCTATGGCGCCCGAGGCAGAAAGGTCCATAAAAGTCCACAAAAACGTGTCAATATTCCTCCATACTGCTCGTCCAATGTATTCCAAGTGTCCTGAGTGGGTAGCATCCAGAATTTACTCGAAACGAAGTCATTTAGAATGTTTTTAGAGCATAAACAGTAGTGTATAGGATTTCCTGAAAGCGCGCGCCTGCGCGTTCACGACGCTACGGAAACCGGCAGACCAAACCAGATGAAAGTGCGCATTCAGCTCGGCAAAGAACTCATGCTCTTCCTCAACACTGAAGTCCTCAGACATTTTTCTTTCGTTGTTACTTTCTTTGCACAGGTAAACAGCACATTTCTTCTTCTACGCTTGCATTATCGGCAGAGCAGACGCTGAATGCGCACTTTCATTTTGAATTTCCAAATGACTGTCGTGCTCCACTTTGGAGACAGACAGAAATGAGTCACCTTGTTGTTGAGCCACGTAACACTGAGACACTATTCATCACCTGCAGCTCTGCTGGAGTCTTTCTGAATGTGATAAGACTAGAAAGAAAATATTTATCTGGAAAATGTTGGAGTTAAAGCTTCAAACAAAGCAAGTGACTCTGATGCTCCTCAAGAAGGAGGGTCTTAGAAACACTGAAGTGGATTCAATGGTTTCCAATCGTTCTCAAGCTGCCTGCAGAGAGTCTGAACTTTTCAACCTTGGCTTCTTTAGCCTACCTGTGAGCTGCATTAGATCTTTATTTTGGACCTGCATCCATGAGGCTTTCACTGGCTGATGAAGATTTCATGGGTTTCCTGGAGCTCTGAGATTCAAATGAGTCAGAAGAGAAACTAATTGCTGCATGTTTTCCGATATAGATGTTTAGTTTAGAATCTCACAGGAAATAAAAGGATTACCAAATGATCTCCATTTCTGCAGTAAAGCTTCTGGCTTTCACTGAGCAGGAAACAAAAGGTGAAGCAAAGAACAGGTTTCTTTGTTGATTCATTTACAGATCAAGACAAGCAGGAATTTTCAGTTCTAATGCTTTTGTTAAACAGGGATAAAAAACCTTTGAGTTGCTGATCTCTGATCAGAGTTGATCAGTAGATCAGTTTAGCTCATTTCCACCTCCAGCTGTTTGATTGGTTGCATCACTACTTTATGAGATGATGATCATGTTTTGTTGCATGTTTTTACCACAGGGCTTCAAACAGGAAAGAGATGCGTGTCACCATGAGAGAAAAAGCGATTTTTATGAAGATTTAGCAACACTTCTTAAGAGCAGATCTCCACATTTTGCAGAGAACGTCAACAAACAGGTAGAATGGAACAGATGAACCACCATAACAATGAAGTTCAATCCAGAACATCACCCACAGTTTCTCATTCCCAGCCCCTGAAACATGCCTGTTTCATCTACTAGTTTCTTTTTCTTGCTGAAGTCATTTGAGAACATATCAAATCACCTCAATAATGGACTCTGTGAGTTTAAAAGATGACAACAAAGTCTGTCTGAATAGAAAGAACTGAGGTGTTCCTCCAGGCTAATACTGAGTGCTGAACACGTGTCCTATATTTAGCTGTTGCTGCTCAGTCCAGCTCCTTCCAGCTGCTGACAGATGTGAAGGTGCTGTCATAAGTAGCTCTGAGTTTAGTAAAGGCTTCAATAAACCAATGATAAGCACCAGACTGCACCAGGACCAAAAACCCATTCAGCCTTTAATATTTAATGAGTGCTGTGTGAAGAGTGATGCATAAAGTCTGAAGCAGGTCAAAATGATGGACAGCTGCAGTAAAACTGGCTGTGAAGGAGTATGTGGGCCACAAATCATCGTCTGGATCTTTTCCCCTCAGATTCCTTCACTGCTTTGATATGTGCAGCTCACACCGTCCTGTTAGTTTATTCTGAATCTCTGCAGAACATTGGAACGCTTTAGTTTGCTGATGGTTCCGGTAAAATGTTGCAGCAGGAATCATCTGAAGGAGATATTTAGGAACAAGAGGTTCTTCTGGACCGGCTCTGCTCAGGTTCTGTTTCAGAACCCAACAACATGCTGCATCATTGCAGCTCGCTGCCCTGATGGTAAAGCAGGAAGCTGAGAGGCAGAAAGCAGCAGCCAGAGACAGCAACAGCTGATCTCCAAGCATGTCTGCTTGTTGTTAAAGTTGAACCAGTGGAGCTGGAGCAGATGATCCCAGACAGGAAGTTAGGACACCTACTGGTGAAATAGCTTGCAGTGATCAGAGCTCTAGCATCACTCTCACCTCCAATGTTTTAAAAGCATCTATAACATCCTAGGGAGTGTTCCCTTCAGCAAACACATGGACTTTCTCCATTTCACATAGAGGAGAATCCCAGAAACTCGGTCAGCCTCATAAAATCTGCCTGTTAGTCTGTGGTTGGCTGAACTGACTGGTATGTTTCCAGTAGCGGGTCACTTTGTGTTGAAGGAAAAACACATATTTGGAACAACGATGGTGAATAAAACCTGCAGACAAACACCTTCATTATTTTCCTGCCTTAACCATGTGGAGCCCTAACAGCCAATCAGAGGCTGAGCTGCTGCTGCAGAAGCACCTGCCTGGGATTAAACTGGGTCCTGCTCCTCATTCATACTGGTGTTACTGGTGTTTTTCTATAGAATGTAAAGTTTGATATTAACAGCTTCAGATCGTCCAGAACCAGAATCCTTCCTGAGGAACAGCATCACAAAGCTGTTCCTCAGTCTGAGCCCAGCTGGGAGGTTTTAGCTGAACTCTGAGGATCATGAAATGTTTGGATGTGGTTCAGCCCATGAAGGAAGAGGATCTCTGCTGTGGAAAGCTTTGGGAACGTGTTCTTTTCTTCCAGTTCCTCAGTAAAGACCTGGTTCTGATGCAGCCCTGCAGATTGTTCTGAAGGGATTTTATGGTTTTCATTTGCCTCTTCTTGGACTGACATGACAACACTTTGTTAGACATTAATATCCTCTGGGTGCAACAATGAAAGCAGACACATCTCTGATGCTGCTGGGAGAATATTCAGAACACCTCTCCACTAGAAGCAGAAACCAAAGCCACCATTTGGGTTTAATAAACAGGATTTGGAGAGTTTTACTGACAGATTTATGTCTTCAAGATTGATTGTTTTTGGGGAAAGACAATCTTTTTCCTCACCCTTCAGCCTCTGTCTCTCTGCTCACCATCAGGTTCTTGTAGAACCAGAAACTCCGTCAGCACAGAGAGTCCATGGTGCGGATCTGGTTGGTGGAGAGGAGCAAGGCTGGCCACAGAAGTCTAAGGAGCACAAGGAAAACAAAGTGCATGAGTGGAAGAGAGTACAGCGAGCTCTGTACCGCAGGAAGAAATATGAGACATGTCAGATTTGGAGGAACCTTGCTGTACTGACTATATGTGGGTAAGTGATCACTGGTCTGAAGAAGTGGCCTTTAAATATGGTCCCACTAGTATGAACAGAGCTAGGCAGTGACTGCTACTGTTACTGCAGATGAGCTTTGGAGCAGAGGGATGTCAAGCTCTCAGCACATCTGCTCAGCTACCTGCCAGCATTCACCTGTTCTGAAGAGATGATTGGATGGTTTCTGAACATCAGAGCAGATATTCCTGATGGCTCAGTGGTCTGAGTTCAGAAAGACTTCTCTGCCTGGAAACCCTGTCTGCCCGATTACCAAAGGAAGCTCTTTAAAACGGATTGATCACATCTGGTCTCTGGCTGATAAATAGATGTCGAAAGAGCTGAGCTGCTGCAGCTGGTGCTTTTGATAAGTGGACACATTGGAGAAGAAACTGGCTACAGTTCAAAGGATCTAAGTAGCTAAAAAATACCCACTGAACCCTTGTCTTGATTTTTAAAGATTGATAAAATTGAATTGATAAAATAACTTTTTTGAAACTAGTAGCAGGCAGAATGATTTGAAGGGTTTGTAGAGCAGCACAGGAAGAGAAGGCCAGAATATCACCACACCCCCCACCCCATCACAGAGGAACGAAGCACCTACCCGCTCCAGCCGGTGAATAATACCTCCTTAACGACCGACCCTTAACAATCATAGACAGGTTTCAGATTTTATACCATTTGCATGTTTCCAAGCAATACAAGGCTTTGTCCATATAAGACTCAAACTCACTGCGGATCCAGACATTTGAATTGAGAAAGCTTCCTGGAGAGGTGGCGAAACGTCTTCAAATCTTGGAAACCAAGTCCAGTGGACATTTTTGGAACTTTTACAGAATGACTATGACCTGGATGACTGAGAATCATCAGCATAGAGATTTTAATGAAATAAAAAAAATTGAGAATGTTTAAAAGACAGAAAACAGCGCTACAACTGCAAAGGAGAGGAAGGTTGCCAGGGAGAAGATAGTTGCTTGAGTTAATGCGTAAGTAAATGGTAAATGGCATGTACTTATATAGCGCCTTTATTCAAGTCAGGAGACTTGACCAAAGCACTTTACACTACATTCATTCACCCATTCACACACACACTCACACACTGATGGTGGCAAGCTACATTGTAGCCACAGCTGCCCTGGGGCTCAATGACAGAAGCGGGGCTGCCGTACACTGGCGCCACCGGGCCCTCTGACCACCATCAGTAGATGGTGCAGGTGAAGTGTCTTGCGCAAGGACACGACACTGAAAGTTGGAGTCGGGGCTTGAACCGTCAACCCTTCAATTTCAGGGCAAACTCCTACATCCAACGCCACCAGTGTTGGGCACGTTACTTTGAAAAAGTAATTAGTTATAGTTACTAGTTACTTCTCCCAAAAAGTAACTGAGTTACTAACTGAGTTACTCCACAATAAAAGTAACTAGTTACTAGTAAAAGTAACTATTGCGTTACTTTTGCATTTCTCGCCCCCGTAAACCTCACCACCCAGCCCCCACCTTCTCGCCGTGTGTTTCCAAAGCCAGCTGAATAGAGCGGAAGACAAAGACAAGAACCTGCAGACAGTTTAGCATTTATTGCAACTCAACGTAAATGACATCAGGGGGGAACGCCATGTGAAGGTTTATAACAGGACATTCAGATCCGGTGAGTATATGAAATTAATAACTGGGGATGTCTAATTCTGAAATCCTGTGTGTTTGGGTTGTTATAGATACTGCAACATCTATCTATCCATCTATCTATCTAGATGTATACTCTGTGTGTGACATAAAATATGGATCTCCATCCCTGCCACAAAGGCCATCAAATAATGTTTAAAATAAAAAAAAACAGTAGGTTGAGAAGGCAGAGTATCCATCCATCCATCCATCCATCCATCCATCCATCCATCCATCCATCCATCCATCCATCCATCCATCCATCCATCCATCCATCCATCCATCCATCCAGATTTCTCCCTTTCTCCATACAGGCTATCATTTCTGGCTGTTGTCAGGTTCATTTGATCGTTCACGCTCTCCATAGTTCTCCTGTGGCGCGAGCACAGGGCGACTGTTGCGCGCCTTTAGCGAGCATGCGCGTTTCCTGTCGCTTGCGCGGTGACTCTTGCCGCCTGCGCTGTGTGGAGATGCAGAGGAAACCGTTATGTGATGGGGAAACGCAGCTCTACGTAACACCGGTATTTCCATGTGGAAAACGCTGTTTTGCTGCTGGAGTCATCCTCACTCTCCATCTCTCTGTGTGTGCTGTACGTTAACACCCACCAGCAGAAACACCCACCTATTCAACTGACAGATGGATTCTCATCCTCCCCTCTCTCATGACAAGGCGCGCACCTCTGGATGACCTAAAATAAATCTTTAATATCTCTTAAACAAAAGTAGCACAAACAATATTTTTTTCTGCACAAATCTGCACTAACGTTGCACTAACCATTCAGTCTATTTGCAGAGTTTTTTGACGTGGGTGGGGTGTCAGCTTCACGCAGCTGCGCACGAGTCCTATCATGAAAAAAGGCTCATTGTGCGACCTGAGTAACGCGCAGTAACGGGGTGCCTGCAATGGTAACTGCGTTATAGTTACAGTCAAAGTAATTAGTTAGATTACTCGTTACTAAAACAAGGTAACGGCGTTAGTAACGCCGTTACTTTCAACGCCGTTAGTCCCATCACTGAACGCCACTGTCGCCTCAGTAAGTATATATGAAGTGGCAGGCCGTTTTTACATTTATTAAAAGTACTTTCCTCTCTGTTGTTCCATTTGTAGATCACTAAAATAAAATTCTTCCTGATAAAAATCCCACTCCTAGCTTGAACTATAATAATATATTTTCTAAATTACAGTTTTGCAGCAGAAACTGAGTTTTAGAATGTTAAAAAACAAAACAAAATTATATGAGTAAGAATTAAGTTTTATATCCAAGAAATTTTAATAAAATTTATTTATTTATTTGACAGGGACAGTGTACATTAAAAAGCATTCCTGCAAATGCACCAGAATTAGCCAAAAGGCTTTTTTCCATCTGTTGTCCCTGGACAGATCTTAAAATTGTCCTCCTAAAAAATATGACTGAATATATATTTGTAATATCTGAAATACATTTCTTTATAGTCATAATAATAATAATAACCAGTAAAAATAGGAATATTCATGGACATGCAGAATGTTTATTCTAGATGTGAAGCATGTTTTTTTGATTGAAATTGTCATTTTGACAAGGTTTATTTTTTCAGGTATCAGAAATGCATATTAATTCAAACTAATACACATCAAAACAATTTGCCATAGACTGTTGTAAACATGACTATATTAGAGTTTTATTTATTGAATGGTCATGAATCACTTTATCAGTTCTGGTGACATCACCTAGCAGCAGGTGAAGATGAAGTCTAAATACATTGTTGTAATAGACAGGACCTATGCATCATATCATGGGGTTTTTCAGATTGATTCTGTCTTCCATTATACAGTAAAAAACATCATAAGTGGCTTAGCTTTTACATCCTAATTGTAAAAACACTTAGGATGTAAAACTAACCTAAATGTTTTTTTTACCATTTATTGGTTTTTGCGACCAATAAATTGTCATTTTTAGCGGTTATCTGTCCCACAGAATGGCTTCACATTGTGCAAGTAGGCTCAGTATGTTGTTATCACTGAAAAATTCCTAATCTTAATCTGAAGTAATTCCTTGCTAATGGTTCTCTGTTGGCACAGTGAAGACACAGTGAAGGGCCCACTCAGTCCCACACCACAGCAGGACACAAAATTCCTAGTGGCTCTTGAAAACTGGGATTCAGTGTTTATTCATCCTGAAAACCACTCAGATGAGCTTCCCATAAACATTCACCACTCAGATGAATGTTTATGGGAGCCGTCTAGCAGTGGAACTGGGACCAGATAAAATTGGTCTACAGGGCCCAGTTCTCCTTATCCAAGCAGTTCTGCAGCTTTGATGAAACATCTACAGCTCTGGCTGCATGTACACCCTCAACAAGAGTCTTTGCTGTCTGTATGATGACGGCTGCAATCCTCTGGTGAAGTTATTAATTATGTGTTTTCTTGCTACTTAGGGCTTGTGGAAGTTCTAATCGGAAACTTCAACATGAACATGGTTGATGAGCATTCTTGTGTGGGATGATGAGGCTGCTTATCCATTTAAACTCCCAGAAAGAAGCAGGATATGCCAGGTCCTGAAATGGATCCTCTGCCTGACTGCTACGTATCTTCTTCTCTACAATCAGAGGTGTGCTGATATCTGCTGTCTGGTGTCTTTAGGAAAACCTCAAGGAGCATTTAAGCCAGAGCTTACCTGAGAGCGAGCACGAGGAGAAGGAAGAGGAGCAGCCAGTACGACGCTCAGAGATCAACACAGGCATGCCCTCTGAAGACTGGCACATCGAGAATCTAGTACAGGACCTAAAGGTAGGAGAACATCTCCAGTTACACTGTTGGTTCTGTCTATGATGGACTTCATCCAGAACTAGTGAGAGTTGTTCTAGCAGAGTGAAAGCAGGCTATAGCTGACAGGAAGCAGTAAATTCAGAGCTCTTCACTTCTCCCTCTGAGGATCATCACTGTTTCCAAAGCTCCTTTACTCTCAGTGCTGTTTCTCAGCTGTTTCTATCAAGGATCAGTCAGAGAGTAAAGAATGTCAGAGGAAACCAGATAGAGGCTTCTCCTATTTAAAGCTCTTGGATGGAGAGCCTTCATGAAGCCTTTGGCTCAGTTCTGGTGGTCCTGACCCAGACCTGTTTGGTTGCACATAGAGCCCAGGTCCCGGGGGAAGTTTATGTCTAACTGCAGTACCTGTAGTCCTGTTTTCCCACACTGCTAACAAATTCAGATAATGCTGGTGTGTGATGGATAGGAGAGGACATCTGATGAATATTTTTGTCAAAACATGAAAGGAGACAAAGGAAGACAGAAGCAGCTCTTACCCAGACTAGCTGGGAATACCTCAGAATACCTGACTGGAGAGAATTCCCTGCTTCCTTTACTAATCCCTGTTAGATATTATCTGGTCTCTGTCGTTGTGCCAGATTCAAGTAGAAAAGGATCTCCACAACCTGTCCCTCGTCTTTCATCAGGAAATATCCCTTCATAGTGTTGGGTTCATAAATGTAGGTTTGCAAAAGAAGAACTGCAATACACAGTAAGGGATTTTTCATACGGCTTCTGCAGAGGGAGAGACAGTTGAACCCCAGACTCAAACACACTGTCTTCCACCGGACCTCCTCCGCAGAGCGTTTTATTAACAGAACATGACACATGGTTACAAACAGAGTATTGTTCTGACAGAACAATTGATCAGTTCATAAAGACAGGATGCTCCATCAGAATGACAAGGCAGGATGGTTTCCTGACTGAATCATGAGACAGGAGTGGAGCATCTCATTTCTACAATGTTTCATATGAACACACATTAATAATCATCATTAAATAAACCTAACACATAACTTCCTAACCATAGTGATCCAGAAGATCTGAATGTTCAGGAATGATTTCCTGTTAGAATTGATGACCTTCTGACCTCCAGAGCTTGTTGCTCAATCAGATCCTGCTCACTGCAACCAGGATATGTTCAGTAGAAAATCCAGCAGCCAACAATCTGTCTGTGGGAATTTTAGTTCAACAAAATGGAAACTACTGGAAGGAAATTCCCAGTCTGATAGGAGGAATTGACTGTTTCCAGAAAGCGAAAGAACAATGTAAAAAGTGACAACAGTGAGATTAGATCAACACTGCTGAGTGAATTTGAAGCTTTGAACACAGGATTTTGGTAACTGCTTTAGGGTTGTGTGTGTTCCTGCATCACAAAGATGCTTGTAGCTCTAACCAATATGTCCCAGCTTTCCATCTCTCTGGAATCCACACAGTGCAGTTATTTACGGCCTTATTCCTACAGTCAATTTATATCATCACCATCAGCGTTGAAGCTCAGCTAGAGTTTAATATCTGTTTGATTTTAGGAGGGGATCGTTTTCCCCTAACACCACAAACTGCTGCTTGTTCTGTAGGAAGTTCAAAACTTTGACTTAGCCACACATGGATGTTCTGTTTTGTGTTTTAATGATGTTGATGGAGGACTATTTGGCCAGGGCTCTAAAGAGTTTGTTTTTCTACCTGGATGACTACAGGTCTGTGCCTCTATGAGGCTGATGTTGATTCTCACAGCGTCCAGAAAGCAGACTGAAGTCAGTTTTTGACTGACTTGAATCCATGCGTTTGTTTTTTATCATGCTCTCTTCATTCGCAACTTTCTAAAGCCTTGTTGTTAAAGTAGAAGCTCCATTTTATCCTCCCTGTTATAAATACATTGACATCAACAGGAAGGATGCAGCAGTACCCCAAGATACTGGAACTCTGTAACTTGAGGCAGCAACTGGGGAAGGGCCACGTCTTTCCAGTCTTGAACTATGTCTTCAGATCTGGAGGCTGATTCTCAACCCTGTCATTTCACACTTGGTCGTGAACCAACTGCAGTACTTCCAGGAGGTCTTAATAGCAGGGAGCCAGCAGAGAGATTAGATACGCTAGTTGCTGAACCAGAATTGTGACCTATAGTTGGAACACACCCTCTGGTCTCCCTTTTTGTGCAGGGGAATCACCACCCCAGTCTACTAGTCTTGGGGTGCCTTCCCCGACCTTTGTGCGGTGTTGAAGAGGTTTGTCAGCCATGACAGCCTGATATTATCTACATTTGGATTTTCTAAAGTACCTCAGTGACTTGATACTGGGTGATGAAGGAATCCAGCCCCAAACACCCAATCTCTCCTTTCACAATAAAAGTTGGGTCAGCCTCATTGAGGAGATCCTCAAAGTATTCCCTCTACTGTCCAGAAATGTCCTCTTTTTGGTTAGCTTTCCTCATTCCCACTGAAAACAATGTTGACAAAGCACTGCTTCCACCTCCTGAGGCATCTGACAGTTGGCAGAATCAATTTGAGACAAACTGACACTCTTTCTCCATGGCCTCTCCAAAGTCCTCAGGAGTCCCAAAAGCCAGACAGCCTGGATAGGACTCCTTCTAAAGCTTGACAGCATCCCACACTGCAGGTGTCTTCCATCAGGTTTGGGAATTGTTGCCACGACAAGCAATGCAAACTTTACCGCCATAGCTACAGGGAGCTGGATTGACAATGGAAGCAGAAAACATTGCCCTCTCTCACTCTATGTCCCCACCCTCCCCCAGAATCTGGGAGAAGCTCTCCTGTTGGTCGGAGTTGAAGACATCCCCGACTGAGGGCTCCACCAGATGTTCCCAGGATACCCTCGCTACTCTCTTAGGCCTGCCGAGCCGGTCTGGCTTCCTCCTCTTCCAGCGTATCCAGCTCACCACCAGGTGGTGATCAGTGGACAGCTCCACCCGTCTCTTCACACGATTGTTGATTGTTTGATTGATTGACTTTATTGATGTCACAATGGAGAAATTAATTTGTCACATCGGCTCAGTAGTCAGAAAGGTGTCAACAGGAAAAAAAAAAAAAACCAAGGTGCTTGGGGGATATATACAGTATATTCAGTGTGTCCATACATAGCTGTTATATATATATATGTTTAAAACAGCTGAAGTATCTTACAGTATTTAATAGGACTATTATTCAGATTTATTGCACAGGGCATTAAATGGGAATTTACATAAATAGGTATTTATAAACATAGTTATTGTGTTGGGTATTAAATATAAAAAACTGGTTATTGCACAGGCCACTAAAGAGTGATTGCACATTAGTTTTTGCCAAGTTATTGACGTATAGTGCCACATTTTAAAGTCTGGTGGCAGCAGGGATGAATGACCTGGACAGCACTCTCCTCTCAGCCACTTCCTCCAATGAGTCCAGAGTCAAGTCCAGAAAAAAAGTGGCCTTTCTCACCAGTTTGTTCAGCCTTTTTCGGTACTGCTCTGCACTGCCAGGGGTCCAGCAGATGACAGCGTAGAGGTGGGCTGGGGCCATCAGAGTCATGGAGGATGTCCAAGGTTGTCGCAGACTTGCAGCCGAAGGTCAAAATATACAACAAAAAAGTTGATCATGGACCTATGGCCTAGCGTGCCCTGTTGCTTAGTTCAGTGAGGCATATTGTTATGCTTGAACAGAGTGTTTATTATATACAATCTGTAACTTGACAGAAAGTCCACTAATAAAAGGTCACTCTGTTTCAGAGCTATTGAAATTCTTCCATCTGAACCTACAAAAAGAAGACTGATCCATCCTATTTAGTTCAAACTCTGTTTGGTTCCTCCTCTTCCCTTTAATATTAAGATCTGCAAAGCTCTGTCAGGGGCCTAAATCCTTCTGTCACCAATCCAACACAGCAGTCAGTTCTGAGCACCACTTCATACAGAAGTTCACTCCTTCTAGCAGCGCGTCCAGGTCACTGCAGAACAGCATCAGATAAAGTCTCAACATGGAATTACAGGCAGCTCTGCTGACATCATTCCTGCTCCACATACTTAGTGCTGTGATTTATTGGCCTGGAGTCACGAGATTAGAAGAGGACCTCCATTCAGCCATGTGGAGATTTCTGCTGTTAGCAACTGAGGCAGAGAAACCTGCAGGAAGAGACGAAGTAACATGTGGAAAATATCTTTATGTGGCTCACAACCAGTTCATAAAAAAAGCTTTTGGTCCTGCTTTGATCCTTCAGACGGGCTCATCCTGTTTTACCTACAGAATTTCATCAGACAAGACGATGAAGCTTTTCTATAAACAGTTTCATAGCAACTAGAAGAGCTTGCAGTGAATCTCTCATTAATCCAGCTGATTTTCCTAAGTGAGAATTTGTATTTTTTTTATTTATCAAGACATATATCACTTGTAAATTAGATTTTTGACCTTAATGAGAAAACCTTTATAATTCATTTTTTTAAAATTTATTTTATTTATTAGCGTTTGCTTTAAAGTACATGCAAAAACATTTGTTCTGCTTTTCTCAAAGCAACTCACTTCAGTGTATAGAAAAAAAATTCATGTTATATTTCTTGAAAAAATTCATGTTAATACAATAAATATTTCAGAATGAGTAAAGTCAGTACCAGCTAGTTTAAAACTTCAAGTCCCAGGGACTGTGAATCTGATAGTCTATCAAATAGAAATTGAATGCAAAATAAGAATTATTGACCATTTCATGCCCCTGATTCTTCATCTTTTCAGGAAGGCGACAAGACAGCCGCAGTGCTGGTTCTCTGCGCCATGATTGATCTGGAACTGGTGCCAAGTGGCGATCCAGGACTTAGGTGGGCTGGAAGTCCTCCTGAACCTTCTGGATACAGACAACATCAGATGCAAAGTAAGAAGCTGTGCTGAAGCTGTACCTGGATGGACTGTAGTCATGAGCAGAACTGGTTCTTTGAGCTAGTCTGGGTTTTAGAGACTGAACCCAGAGTGTTGGTAGGAAACCACTTTTAGAGACACAGGGCAGCTGTTATTCACCAGCAGGACATGTCAGGAGGCTGGTTAAACTGCTTGATTCAGACTTGTTAGCTACTTTTAGTGGAAATACAGCTGAGTGTTTGACTTCCAGATGTTAATGTGTCTCCGCATGTTGCCATAGAATGCACAGTTATCATAAAGCGATGCTTGGATTCTTGCTCCTTCTTCCATGTTGTTGTTTTTGTCCTAAATATTTCTGATCAGATTGAGTCTTTAAAGACAAAGATCAGCCAGAATGTTCAGCTCTGACAGACCATTGTACAGATAAGAGGCCTGCAGAGGATGGTTAACAACCTGGACTCACCCGTGAAGGAGCTTCAGGCCTTAGCTACTGAGACCATAAAAAAACGTGGCCACGTCCCGCAGAGCAAGAAGAATCGTCAGGCAAGATGGAGGAATTGGGAAACCTGTGAGTAAGAGCTCTGGAAGATTGAGGTTTGGTTCTAAAAGGCTGCAGAGGAACTGGAGAACAACGGGGGGGGGAAGTTGAAGCATATTTGTCTGCATTCACATTAATCCACTGGACTTTTAATGGTGTTGTATGGGCTCCCAAAACTTCACAAGGAAGTAACACCACTTAGACCCATTGTTAGCAGCATCAACTCAATAACGTACAACATTGCTAAACAATTTACTAATATTTTAGACCTCTGGTGTGAAACAAACCATATCACATAGAAAACTCCAAAGACTTTGTAAACAAAGTCAAACATTTAAAGATGGCGCCAGGAGAAACTCTGTTTGTCCTTTGATGGTACTTCTCTTTTCAGCATATTTATATAAATGGTAGTGGGAAAAGCCAGGAAACGTCTTCAACAAGACAGTGACCTAAACAACAGGACTAATTTCAATCCAGACCAGATCTGCACCCTACTGGACCTTTGTTTTGCACAACCTATTTCAAATTCAGAGGTATTTTTTACAGACAGAAGCATGGTTGTGCCCTGGGATCTCCCATGTCACCAATTGTAGCAAATCTTTACACTGAAGAAATGGTAAAGAGAGCTTTGGAAACCTACAGAGAAAAACCACCAAGACAGTATGTGGATGACACAGTCATCAAAATCCAGTTAAAAGAAGTGGAAGTTTTCACAAGACACATCAACTCAGTTGACCACAATCCCAAATTCACCAGAGATGATGCTAACAAGAACAAGCTACCTTTTCTGGACAATTTGGTGAGCATGGAAGGAAATGGAAACGTCAACATTTAGGTGTATAGGAAATCCACTAACACAGACCAACATCTTCTGTTTGACTCACACCACCCACTGGAACACAAACTTTCTGTCCGCACAAAGAACAGAAACGCATCAAAGATGCTCTCCAAACCTGTGGATACCCAATCTGGGTGTTTTTCAAATCAGCAAGGGAATCCAAAAGACACATAACAGAACATAACTGTTAAATAAGATTAAATACAAAAACACAGTCATCCAATATGTTGCTGGAGTCTCTTAAAAAACTTAAGAGGATTTTCTTCAAACACAAAATCCTAGTACATTTCAAACCAAAAAAGACCCTTAAACAGAGACTAGTGCATCCTAAATACAAAACCCCCAGACCAAATATGAATGGAGTGGTGTATGGAATTCAATGCAGTGAGGAATTCTCTGATCCTCAGACACATGGCCCAACACAAAAAAGCGACCTCCTCTGGACAAGACTCGGCAGTCTATCTACACCTTATGGACAAAGGACATTCTTTTGAGGACCAGAATGTTCACATTTTGGACAAAGAGAACAGGTGGTTTGAAAGGGGTCTGAAAGAAGCCATTTATGTTAAGAAAAGAAAAAACAACCTTAAAAAGAGAGGGTGGACTCCAGTTTCAGCTTTCAAAATCCTACAATGCAGCAATACAGTTGATTCCTTCCCGCTATCATCACAAACCCCCACCCCCATATAGGGGACCAAAACATCTTGCGTGCTCAACCAGGGCAACAATTTCCCCTGACGACCCCCATTTCAGAGGCATAGACCAGTTTCAGGTATTGCAGGCTGACAAAGAACCCAAACGACTTCCCATTCCTAAGGGGCCGACCTGTTCTTCCGGTTCAATTTGCATGTTTTCTAAGCCAAAGCAAGACTTTGTTTTGGTCTACTCTATAAAGCGTCAAACTTGACGCTAATTCTGACATTTTGAATTGAAAATGCTTCCTGGATGGGAAGCGAAATATCTCCAAACTTGAAAACAAAGTCCAGTGAATTTTTTTTTTTTTTCTACGTTTTTGGAATGACTATGACCTGGATGACTGAGAATCTTCACTAACACACACTGTTAGCTTAGATTGGTCATTGGCATGGAGATTAGTCCATGGAGGTGTTTTGTCCAACTGCTGCTCTGTAATAAGATGTCAGTCTGGGGGCCTCTCTTTGATTAGGTGAAGCTGCTGGACTGCTTCCCTAACTCAAGCCGAGCGGAGAGCAAACATGGAGAAGGATTTGCAGGTGGCCCGCTGTACAGCCTCAGCTCTGTGGAACTGCAGCAAAAGCACCAAGAACAAGGAGGCCATTCGCAACGCTGGAGGGATCCCTCTGCTGGGATGCCTACTTGGGACTCCACAGGAGAACATGCTGGTCCCTGTTGTGGGTACCCTGCAGGAATGGACCTCACAGGTGCGGAGATCCCAGCTAGGGAGTCGTGCCCTTTGCTGTGAAACGTGGGAATTCAATTCTTTAAATGGTTCTTACTGCAAATGGTCACTGGGATTCAGCTCCACATGATGATATTTAACGATTAAAACTTTAAAGAACTTTGTCCAATTGATTTAACGTCATCCGTTAATCTTTATTCAATATCGATGGCATCTGTTATTCTGTAGTTTTCTTCTGTTACACAGAAAACCTACAGGGCTGCCATACAAAGTGAAGGGATGGTGGAGGTTTTGGTGAAGAAGCTCAGGAGTAGCAACGCTGAGCTCCAGATGCTTTGTGCCATCTTCAAGGTGCTTGCTTCTCTGTCTTCTGCTCTGCTCAGAGCTCAGTACTTTATCTGTGTGGAAACAGAAAGCTCATTTATAAAAACAGTTTATTTGGACCAAACTATTTAAGGATACAAACACCTGACCTCTTTGCCTCCTGGTCAGAGCCAGACTGCAGATCTCTCTCAGGCCTCTCATTTGCTTTACAGTGTGCAGAGGACCAACGGACACGGGGACCTGGTCCGCCGCTCCAAAGGCCTGCAGGCGCTGGTTTCACTGCTGGCTAAAGCAGACAACAAGCAGCTCCTGGCTGCTGCCACTGGGACCATTTGGAAGTGTTCAGTCAGCATGGAGAATGTAGCTATGTATGCACGGACCATCAGCTCCACATTTGACTAGTTCTTAACCTACCTGGACTCATGCTGCCACATGGTCCAACACCATATGGTAGACAGACAGAACACATGTTCTCTGCTTGTTCTTGTTGTGTTTCTGTGATAACAGATCAGAAGTACTTGAACAAATCCAGGGGCGTTGCTAGGCACAAAGCTTTACTGGGGCACTGGCCCCCTAGTGCATATGCCCCTCCTTCCATACATAAATACAGACAAGCACACTGCCCCACCCTGATACATTCCTACCAAAATTACCAGTTGAGATATTGATGAGTATAAGAGCATATTTGTTTTAACAAACATGAACATTTTCAACATTGCAGCTATAAAAAATAAGACATCAACAACTTTGACAAATAAAAAGTTTCCTTATACACATTCTGAAGTAATCATTAATTCCTAGGTTACAGAGTTTTAGTTCGGGGGAAATTTTAACTCATCCTGAGCTAAGTTTTCCTTTTATTTTTTGAGCATTAAAGTGTACCTCCTATTTATCATTTTTGCAAAGTGGTCAATCACTTGTGACTCAGCTTAGAAAGTTCTTCCTTTTCAACTGATAAAATAGCAAGATGATGGAGCCTGTCTTATCCCATTGTGCACCTCAGCCAAGTGTGGATCCTTCTCAACACACTGAATGACCTTTCACAACTACAGCTGTAGACTGGGATGGTGAGGGAGATCTGGATGACCTGCGTTAGTGTGGCGAACATGATGTTATCAAGCAAGTTGAAAACACACTGCATATCCTTGATGACAAGGCTTTCTTTTTTAACCAGGAAAAGCTTTCAAACCATTTTGAATTAAATGAACGTTTTTTTACTCCAAATTTGTGCTGGGGATAGTGGGACAACTTCACTTGTATAGGACCATCATGCTTTCCCCCTAAGTCACTAATGTCTCCTTCTTGTTTGTGGACGCTGGTTGCTGCTCCCTCATCACCTTCATGGTCCTGTCTCTCCTGTCCTTCACCTGTCTCTCCTGTCTCTTGCCTGTCAGTCTCGCCTCCTCCTCCCTTTCCTACTCCAGCACCTTCATTCTCATTCTCTACAGGAAACATAAAAAAAAAATGTAAATTTATAATTATGTAAATATCTATCATATTGCTTATAACGTCCCTAATGTAACTGCTTAGCTTAAATCACTAATTCATTACGGGACCTTACCTCCCTCTCTCTCATCTTGTTTTACTGCTTCCCTGTCTCTGCTTCATGTGAGGAATTTCCTGATATCCATCTACAAACCAATGCAGTAATTTTCAGTTAGTAGCCTATAAATCATGTGGTTTCACTGGGAAAATAATAAAATTGACAGGTAAGAAACGTTACCAGAACTAAAAATGCGTCGTGGCCGCACAGTGTCCCATCCAGCTCAGTGAGAGCAGCGCGTTAATTTACCTGCAGTTCATGCAGTGACATGCGCTGACGTGGGGGCGCTAATACATCCTCAATTTGGAGTTACCAACACACTTGCTGCGCATTTGAGTAGAAATATACGTCTCTTTCCGTTGGAATTATCTCAATTGATGCATTAAAAAAATGTAATAATGTTGCAAATATTCATGAGATTTATACTGGGGCACAGCTCATTTATACTGGGGCACGTGCCCCAGTAAATGGGGTCTGGCGACGCCGATGAACAAATCTCTACCTGATCACTGGAGCAGCAATCTCCCAAAGCTCTGAGTCAAATAGCTTTAATAGGAATTAGACATTTCCCCCACATGTGCCAATAACCGTTGGGGCATGTGTTACTGAGCTGATGTGGTCAACAGCCATCTGTCAGTGTGCGAAAAATAACAGCAGCAGAGGATCCAGAACAGGAGGGTTCAGCTCACCTCTGCAGCTCTGTAGATGAGGTGCCATCAGTACATCTGCTAGTTTTCTCTGCAGCCATCACTCAGTCAGGACTCATTGGGTGCGTCTCAATTCGCAGGCTGCGTACTTGGTAGTACGCATTTTGAGGCCGGTGACGTCACGACGCTGCGCGGAGGCCGTCCCGTTTGGCAAAAATTCTGAGGACGCTTAAAATGCAGCCTCAAAATGCGTCCTCCTTTTCCCCGAATTTTGAGGATGCATCGCAACCGTCCTTAGTGGCCTCGCCTCCCGCTAGATTTCCCGAGGTGCTTTGCGCGTTTTTTTTTTTTTTTTTTTTAGTTGAAGAAAAAGAAGAAGAAGAAAGTCGGATTTTCTTCAAATTACGGACAACCGAAAGCAGCAGCAGCGCCGACAGTAGTGCGGAGAACACCTTTAAATGTAAGTAGTTTTTTTTTATTTATTTTTTTATGAACATCTATTAAAATACATGACGGTAACGGAGCCACCGGAATGTGTAGGAGCAGCTAAAGCTAAAGCTTAGAGCTAACCTGTTGATGCGTGATGCTCATCAACAATTAAAAGCCTTCATACAAATGTCACTATTTTTTATTTTAACCTACATCTTACTGTACTGATAGCCGTATCCCTCACAAATCAGATCTATTTATTCTCATACAGTTTATTACAAAGTATTAGTGCTGTTAAAGCTTAATGCAGCTGAAGAAATAACATTAGTCCAGCTGTACTGGGCTGTCAATACTGCAAACATTTTGTTTTAATACTCAATAATGTATAGTTTATTTACAGTACAGTATAATAAGGTTTAAAGTATAATTCGCTCGAAGAACAATACAGGCGTAATTATACAGAACAGTCATTTTGCCTGTTGACTTAACAGAAATATGCTTTACATGTCATTTTGTTCCAGGGAGCAGACAGAGGAGTGGATAAAATGACCACCTTATCATCGGGGCCAAAAATACTGCTGCAGTCGGATGGAGGGAAGAGGCAGAATTCCATCTACATGTTGCATTTCTATGTAAGTCACACAAGTTAAAAGAAGTCCTGTTCAAACACCAACGTACAAATATAATCTTTTGATCACATCAAATGATGCCCAGATGCCACTTTTTGTAAATCTCATATTTGTGATAGAAGTGATCCTTGTGTGGGACAACTTAAAAAAAAAAAATACAAAGTATGTTCAGGTTTGGATAATGTATTGAAACACACACACACACACACACACACATATATATATATATATATATATATATATATATATATATATATATATATATATATATATATATATATATATATATGTATGTATGTATATGTATGTGTGTGTGTAGGGAAATTACATCTTTCATTTATTATATTCATGTTAATTTACATTTTGAGTAAGCTTGAAAAAGTAATCTCCACGTTACCATTCCAGTCTTTTTCTGTAGAATTTCATCAATCCATCCAAATCATGAAACCTTCCTTTTTTCTAGCTTTAAAGAAACATTACAGAAAATAGCATCTGTTGACACACATTGTTTTCCTCTACTATAGGAATGCAAAGATCCTTGGACAGGGCAGGGGGTCAGTGGGAATCCTACTGCTGCCACCTGGCCCTGGTTTGTCCTCATGGATGAGGTATTAGGACAGAGGCCCTCTGTTGCCCCACCTGTCCTAATTGCCTCCATCCCTGAGGAAACACCAGGGCCAGGTGCTGCAGAGGCTGAGCAGCATCAGGGTGAAGATGAGGAAGAGAATGAGGATGAGAGAGGAGGGAAAGGAGGAAGAGAAGAAGGAGTGACGAGTTGGTGGATTTAATCAGGGAGGAGATGAGATGGCAGAGGGAGGCGGGAAAGGATGGACAGATTATTTCATTTATTGGAGAGGATGGTGGACAGATGTTATTATTTTTTTGGTGTTTTTTTTAACAAGTTGAGGTTCTGTGTTGCTGTTATTGTTAAATTAAATTATTAAATTGTTTATAAAAGTTATTGCTGTCGGTGTGTTCTTAAAGTCTTTTAACCTTTTTACATGATCTGTTTCATCACTTCTTTGTAATTTAAGCAAACTTAGAACAACTTCTCAGTGACATCAGTTTATTTTTAGAGAAGCAAGTATTTACAATAAACTTTACAATAAACAAGTATTTACAATAAACTATTAAACATTTTTAACTATTGACATTAGATTTTAAAATTAACTACTACAACTATTTACAAAAGATATACAGTAAATATTACTAGAGAACATATATATATACAATTGTGACTGAGCCCCTGGGTCCCTGGTGGTGCTGGACTGGATGGGATGCCACACAGAGGAGCTTGGAGTCTTCTGACTGCGAGTGGGACATCATCTGGTGGGTGGGGGTTGCCTCTCTCCACTGCTGATCCAATCGATGGCTGCCATGTTACTAAAAATGTTCAAGAAGATGCAGAAAATAATGACTTTACTAAAACTGTTTTTATAACCCTGAAATAAGAACAGCTAAAATGTGATTCTACTTGCCATCTAAATGTAATGGTGGTCGGGTAGACCCTCCTCCAGGGCAGACACCTCGGCAGACAGCTGGTCCCTCCATAGAGCACCACTGACTGCCTCCTACACGTTCTCCCCCTCCTCATCCTCTGGCATGTCGTCCTGCTCTTCATCCTCTGGGGCTGTTATGACCTGTAGAAAAAAAAAGACAAAAATATTTATTTTTATTCAGTCATCTATCTTTTTTTCCTTATCTTTATTACATGATTTATTAGAAATTAAATTTTACTTCATGTAGATCCACTATTTAACTTATTTTTTATGTTTTTATATTTTGATTTTTCTTTCCTGTATTATGTTTATATATATATATATATATATATATATATATAATTGCAAATAAAATCAGGCAGTAAGGGGATAACAATTTAGACAAAAATGATTTATTTCTCAACAGTTTGGCTTCTCAACACAACATTAGTGATAGTGAAAGTAGTGATTTAAGTCAGTTATTTACAGGGTTTGTACACATTTAACTATTCAATTCAAATTACTAAAGTTACAAACAAATAAATCACAAACTTGCAAATAAATATAAAATTTGATATTTAAACCTATTCATCAATCTGCTGACAAGAGTTTATTTAATAGCTGGTATATTCTGATCATTAGCAGGCCCCTGTGGGTTAGAATAATAGCAGGTAGATCTTACCTCTCCACTGCGCACTGCTAGCCTGAGAAAAATCCGTCGCAGGTTTTGCTGCCGCCGAAGCCGTCAAAGCCGACTCTCCTCCTCCAATAACAAGTAAATAAAAAAAATAAAAATGTCCATATCTATTTTTTTGTTGGTTCTTTCCGTATTTCTCGAGCTGTCGGATTTCGTTTCGCGCTGTGTTTGGGGTAAACGTGATGACGTCGTGTCGCAACCAGGAAGTGCTCCAAAGGCTAGACCGTCCCATTTACCAACGGCTGAGGATCCTCCGGAGCAGCCTACCGAGTCTGGGTCCTCCGGAGGCTAGGTAGGCTGCGTCCTCGGAAGTACGCAGCCTGCGAATTGAGACGCAGCCATTGTGTCGTTGTTTCCACTCTTCTCTACTGTCAGATCTTCCTTTCTTTCCCTTTTTGTCTTCTTAAAATGATTATTGGAGTAAAAGGTCAAGTTTCTGTTCAGATTCTCTCAGCTCTGATCTTTAATGTCAGAGTTTGCTTTTGAATTCAGACTTTTCCTCCATTAATAGAGGATCGGGTAGATGTTCAAACATTATAGGCCTCAGTAAAATCATTGAAGGCCCATTAGCACTGGACCAGTCAGGATCACGGTGTTACCAGCCTTTAATGTCAGAGAGCTGACAGGAGCTTTAATCATTAGTCATGTAGGGCAGGGATTTCTTGAAGCAGTGTTTATCCTGGGTGGAACGTTTTCTGACTTGTTCTTTATTGTCAGATTAGTTTTAAGGCAGTAATGTTCCCTCTAAAATAAATGATGCCCTCAGAGTCCTGGCAGCAATACATTCCCAATGGGGAGCCCTTGAAACACTGATTTGTCTTCAGGGTGAGTCTGGGAGTGTAATGTGTAACCCACATGCAGTGATTTAATACCTCAGAAACATTAATCAATCTGAAACTTCTTCTGTTGATTGCAGCCAAGCTGCTCATGAGACGACGTCCTGAAGTACAAACATGGAGCTTAAGGCTTCAGCTGAGGTGAAACGGTTTGAAACACTTTTCTTCTTTGGTTTGCTCCAAGCTCTCATAAGGATCCACCCTGACTTCCTGGATCAGAACTGACACAAAAATGATGATGATGAGGATGATGATGTTGATGATGATGATGATGATGATGATGATGATAACATAATCCTGTGGGTTAGAGGATCAACTGTCTGGATCAGGCAAAAGCTCAGAGTGAAGCGATTTAAGCCTCACTGTCAGAAGAATAGAGGCTGCTAATTTAACAAGGATTGAAGACTTTCTTCACAAATGTTTCAGACTGCTGTAATAACTGGAGGCAGGGTTGGATCTTGTCTATGAGTTAAACTAGTCTTCCTGCAAACAGGATTCTATTTGATTTCATTGACTGATGATCTACAAGGTCTGGAGAGAATGGAGGTCTTGTGGATTTGAGAAAAGTAGCAGCAGATGTGAACACTTTCCCTGATTAATGATGCATCTAAATTAGAAATGATTGATGCCCTGAAATATAAAACAATCTTAACATGAATGTGTAGAAATAATTTAGTCACAGCCTTGTGCTTTTTAAAGGACTCCCACTGAACCAAGGACAAAGTTCTGAATAAAATCTGCAGACTGAGGAACAGTGAAACATTATTTAGTGCAGATTTGTTGTTGTATCCAGATGTGGCCTCTTGTGTCTGTGGACAGAGGTGTTATAGACACACAGAAATGCTGGAAAATGCCTTAACAAAAGGCTGAGGCAATAACTCTGCAATGGAAAGTGGAGGCTGCCAAGGCCAGCAGTGGGTTTGCCAGAACAGTAATGTTTGGGTCCAGATTGTGAGATTTGCTCCAAATCCTGGCTTCCTTCCATCTTACGATAAAATTGCTCTGCTCAAGGTGGCTGTATATAAGAATAGCTTTAGTCTAGTTAGTTTGATTGTGATACATTCTTTGTAAAAGAACCATAGCTCCTTATTTTGTGATTAAAAGTCCAGTTCATATACCTTTTTCTCCTCTGTTGTTAAAGGCTGTGCAGCTAAAGTAGAAGTATATTAAATGATATCTCTTTATAGTGGTACATTATTTACTCTTCTTTTTTTCCAACTGCCAGCAGTTGATTAACGTCTGAAATGCTGATATGTTACACCAACTATATTCCTAAATTGCACATATGTTGAAAAGGACATGCAGCAGATTCAGAACAGGATCAAAGAGAAGAGAGAGAAGGAGGAAATTCAAGCCAATTCTTCTATCAATCATTCAGCTACATTATGAAGGTCTGATAAAGATTCCTGCTGTCCACCCTGAGTTAAAAAACAAGCAACCATCAGGACCCTCTGCAGCATGTTTATCTCTGTGGAGTGGAGTTGAAGATGTCATCATCATGTACCTGCTTTAATGCACCCATTGTTATTTAGATAAGGCAGTGAGGATCATGAATATCACATTGCTCAGTGTGCTCTTGTTCAATCTTCAATAACCACAGACTGACCAGAACCAAATGACCTTAGCTTTCTAGAATAGCAAACAGACCATGATGCCAGCAACTATAACTGGGAGTAAAAACGGACAGAAAACTGAGCTGAACATCAGATGGTTGCTGAGGTTTTACCCACAGTATCACCCTTCTGAATGTTTACTATAGTTCCCTGCTCTATAGCAAAGTCAAACAAGACCAAAACACACAGTTAAAGATGGAGGAAGAACTTCCAAGGTTTGGTTCTACAAAGTAAAGACCAAGGATGGCTGGGAGGATCCGTGGGAAGGGTTAGTTCTGCCGGGTTACAGCTGAACGCTGATGTTGCTAGGAGCAACATAATCTTGACTTTTGACCCAGACACTTGATGACAAATTGGATATGCACAGAGTCTGGTTCAGAAGACACTCTGTTGGTCTGGCAGTAACATCACTGATATTTAATGTGTGACTGATTTTATTCACGATAACATGGAAAATAATAATTTATTTTTAAAGTCACAATAAATATTAATGGTTTCCACAATAATCAGAAACTGTTGCCCCATCATAATTAGTGATTTTAGACCGATATGATGTTGTTAACCTTGATTATATGAAGTTTATGTAAAAAAAAAAAAAAAAAAAAAAACATACTATTGTTAGGATGCTAAGATGTTGTGAGCTGCTACCTTCACTGGACTCCCTGACCTGAGGTCAGCCCACTTTGGCTCTTCTGTTAAAGCAGAATAAATCCTGATGTTTTCAGATATGCTTGGTCTGTCTGTGCTGCAGACGTCTCTAAACTTTAGCTTTACTCTGACGTACCATTGAACACGTTCTAGAGCAAATGGGTCAGATATACTGAACCTGATCATTAAGGTTCTGAGTACTAACTTTGTTAGTTTTGTTTTATGGGTTTTCCTTACCTCTAAAAGCAAAAGAATCTGTTCAACTGATACTTGGTCTGTTATTTGACCAGTTTCTGAAATAAACGAATCAAACCAGCGTAATTATATTAGAATAAAAGCATCTCATTGTTGTTCCTCAAAACTTTCAGGAGAGCAACGTTCTGCATATCCTGATTGGTCTGCTAACTGATCAGCCTGAAGAGGTTCTGGTCAATGTATTGGGAGCTCTGGGACAGTTTGCTCAGATACCAGCTAACAAGACACCATCTGCAGGAGTGGGAGCATCAAGGTCCTCATTAATCTGCTCAAAGGAACAAACCAGGTATGTTATGTTGCTTCTTACTGTAGGTTCTTGGTCAAAGTCCCTCCATTTATCAATGCATGTGCTCTCTGTCATTTAACCAGGCTGTGCTTGTAACTGTAACCAAGGCTGTGGGAGCTTGTGCCACAGTCAAGGACATGTTGTAAGTTTGCCTCTTCCTGTTCAATTTAACCTGCTCTGTTTCCATTTCCAGTAGTTTCATATGAGCCGCCTGGTAAAATGTGATCAGTGGCTTATTTACCATCATCAGAGAATCAGCTCAAACTCATTCTGGGCCCTTTGTTGATGTCATGTGTTTCTAAAAGGAAATGAGACCAATTTTAGGATCTAAACAGGGTCTCATTAACCTGTCATGGGCTGGTGCCCAGAAACATTCCTGTTGTTTTCATTTGGAGCTGTGCAGGTAGGCGTCTCTTTCATCCTCAGCCTAATCACAGCTTTTAAAAGCTGTGTTTATTGTAGCTGCTGTGTTAAATATGGCTGTGGTTTCATTCTCCGTGTTTTACTGTAGCCATGCGGTCACTGAGCCGCTCAGACTAACGGGCCTAAAGCCCTGCCCCGTCCAACACTCCAGGGTGGGAAAACCCAGAGAAACAGAGTGCTGGCTTCTCTCTCTTCATTTAACCTCTGCCTTTTTGGCTGGACAGCATGGTGGAGCTTCCATCTCAGCCTCATTGCTTTTAAAAAACTTGTTACAAACTAGAACAGCTTCTCAAATCACTCTGGGCAAAAATCATGTAAATGTAACCAAGGCTGTGGGAGCCGCGAGTTTGTAGTGTTAGTTTTCTGCTTCTACGATAAGACAGACTTTATTGATCTCAAAGTATACCCAGTATTCAAGATGAGACAGTCAGTAGGAAAGTTCAAAACGTTTATTAAAATAAAACAGAACAGAACAGAAACAAAGCACACAAAGGAAGGGGCGGGTCACCGCCCAATCACTGACACTTTGGTTTAGGGAGAAACACAGGTAAGTGACCACAATCATCTGAACAGAAGATGATTATTAGAGTGAGTCACCTACCTGGTTAAACAGTTCAGTCCATCCTCTCAATCTTAGGCAGGATAGCCGATGCACTGCCAATGAGAAGTGGCCCTGAGCCATCCAGAGCGTCCTTGATGTAGCAACCCCAGTGAGCAAGCATGACTCCAATCCAGGACAAGGATTCAAATCTGACTGGAGTAGCAGTGGGATCCAGAAGTCCGCAGTCCGGTCAGTGGTTCCAATCCACTCAGGAACAAACAGATCCGGGTTCCAGGAATCCATTGGAGGGGAAGGCAGGTTCAGAGTCCTGTTTGATGAGCATCCAACTCAGACTAAAATGCACCTGGGAGGACAGTATCAGAGTCTCGTGCATCGAGCATCCAGCTCAGACAGAAACGTACAGACAGGCAGAATCCAGCAGAAGTCCAATCATGGTTCAGGGGAACAGTTCGGACGGGATAGACAGGGACAGTGGCTGAGAACAGAATCAGGAAAACAAAAGGCTTGGGGAAACGCTGAAACGCTCTCAACACTGGTTATGGAATTACTTGCCTGAGGAAACTGGCTTCAGAATAAGCTCCTCACTGGAACATGAACCTTACACATAACTAGGGATGGGAATCGAAAACCGGTTCCTGTTAAGAACCGGTTGCGTATTTTCCGATTCCATGGCATTGTTTGGCAGCTCGCTGAACGATTCTTTTTTCGATTCCCGCAGCACCAGAGCCTAGAGCGCCGGCTCTGGGGAGCACGACTTACGTCACGTTTTTTACGTAAGTTACGCAAGTTACGCAAGTTACGCAAGTTGGAAGAACTATTCGAGGAGGAAGACAACGAGCTGCGGTCACTTTGTGAATCAAAGCCCCGTCTTTCCTTAGCCCAGAGGATAGATCAGGAAATCCAGCTCTGTAAAAGCTTGCCCTCCATCCCCTGCAGGGATAGCGCCACAATGTGGTGGTGGAACAAGCAAGATACGCTGCCCTTGCTATCTGGACTGGCTGAAAATTACCTCTGTGTGCAGGCTTCCTCCACCCCATCTGAGAGGGTATTTTCCACGGCTGGAGACACCATACGCGCTGAAAGATCCCGTATCCTTCCTGAAAAAGCAGATATGCTCATCTTTCTGCAAAAGAATTGTTAATTTTCCCTCACTGCAAAAACGATCTGAAATTAAGTAAAAATATCTTAAATCAAGTGTATTTACCCTTAATTTGAGCAGGTAAATAAGATAGTTTGCCAATGGAATGAGTATTTTTACATTTAAAATAAGATAATTAGATAATATGCACTTGAAATAAGACAATGCAATAGTTTTTTTCTTATTTCAAATGTAAATTGTCTTGTTCCATTGGCAAAATGTCTCACTTACTTACTCAATTCAAGAAAAAATGAACTTATTTTAAGAACAAATGACTTATTTAGATTTACATTTTTTGCAGTGCTACTACTGTTTTATAATTAGTATTTTTTGTTATTTAAAATAGGTTATTATCCCATCATTTGTTATTAGACATTGTTGGTTATTAAGTTTGTTCTTGTATTCATTTTTCATTTAAACACAGATGTTACTCCAGTTTCACATTTCCTGTGGACATCTTGATCTTGTTGAGTTAAGATTGTGCAATAGTTAAGTAAACAAAGTTGATTCTGATAATCAAACTGTTTGTTCTCCTTTTTCCCCCAAATTGGAATCGAAAAAAGAATCGATAAAGAATCGAATCGTTTCATAGAATCGAAAAGGGAATCGGAATCGTGAAAATATTTTCAATTCCCAACCCTACACATAACTAAAACTGACGGAAGGAAACTAACAGAAGGCAAACTGGGAACAAACATCAAACAAACAATGATCTACCCTCTATAGCTGGGCTGGACAGAATATAAACCAGAACTTACATGTGGATGAAATCAGAGATTCAATTCAATTCAATTCAGTTTATTTATATAGTGCCAAATTCACAACACATGTCATCTCAAGGCACTTTACAGTTCAACCAGATCATACAGTCAAATTGATACAAAGTTTTCTATCTAAGGAAAACCAGTTGATTGCATTGACTCATTGACTCAAATACAATCCCTCACACTAAGCATGCTTGTAGCGACAGTGGAGAGGAAAAACTCCCTTTTAACAGGAAGAAACCTCCAGCAGAACCAGGCTCAGTGTGAGCGGCCATCTGCCAAGGCCGACTGGGGTTCAAGGAGACAGAAGCAGAGATACAAAAAGCAGCTGTAAAAGGCGGCCCCGTCCAGGAAACACACAGCCAGGCAGACGAGCTCCAAGGCAGCTCCCATGCCAGAGGATGAAGAGAGCACATCCACCCAGCCACGGCCAGAGAAACAGGACCACACCTGAAGACAGGCCGATCTCCAACATCTACAAACAAGGGTGTTGATGGAAGCAGCACAGCTGATGTTTCTTTCCTGGATGACGTCACAGCCAAACAGGAACAGACGAGGCAAAGCTACTCTGAGGAAAAGCAGAGAGAGCAGAAGGTTAGAGATTGAACAAACAGATTCTGCAGAATAGGAGAACAGAGAGAGAATGAAGCAGAATGATGAAATGGGGGTCCCTATGTCCTCCAAAAGTCTAAGCCTATAGCAGCATAACTATAGAGAGAGAGCTCAGGATAACCTGAGCCACCCTAACTATAAGCTTTATCAAAAAGGAAAGTTTTAAGCCTAGTCTTAAAAGTAGACAGGGTGTCTGCCTCACGGACTAAAACTGGTAGTTGGTTCCACAGGAGAGGAGCCTGATAACTAAAAGATCTGCCTCCCATTCTACTTTTAGAAATTCTAGGAACCACTAGTAAACCTGCAGATTGAGAGCGAAGTGCTCTGTTAGGAACATAAGGAACAATCAGATCTCTGATATAAGATGGAGCTTGGCCATTTAAGGCTTTATATGTGAGAAGGAGGATTTTAAATTCTATTCTTGATTTAACAGGAAGCCAATGATGAGAAGCCAGGATAGGAGAGATATGATCTCTCTTTTTCATTTTCATTAGAACTCTGGCTGCAGCATTTTGGATCAGCTGAAGGCTTTTAACTACAGTTTGTGGACTTCCTGATTGTAAAGAATTACAATAGTCCAGCCTTGAAGTAACAAATGCATGGACTAGTTTCTCAGCATCACCCCTGGACAGGAGATTTCTAATTTTTGCAATGTTCCTCAGATGAAAGAAGGAAATTCTAGAAACCTCTTGGATCTGGGATTTAAATGACAGGTCCTGATCAAAAATAACACCAAGATTTTTTACTTTATTATCTGAAATCAGTTTAATCCCATCCAAATGAAGTGACTGGCTAATCAGCTTCTTTTTCAGAGACTTTGGTCCAAAGACTATAACTTCTGTTTTATCTGCATTCAGAAGCAGAAAGTTAAGAGTCATCCAGGTTTTTATGTCTTCAAGACATGCTTGTAATCTATGTAATGGGTTAGCTTCATCTGGATTTATAGACAGATATAGCTGGGTATCATCAGCATAACAGTGGAAATTAATCCCATGCTGTCTAATAACTCTACCAATTGGGAGCATGTATAAAGTAAAGAGAATTGGTCCTAGCACTGATCCCTGTGGTACTCCACAGGTAACCTTTGAGTGTGTTGAAGATCTATCATTAACATAAACAAACTGAATTCGATCAGATAGATAGGATTTAAACCAGTCTAGTGCTGTTCCTTTAATTCCAACAAAATATTCAAGTCTTTCTAAAAGAATATTATGGTCAACTGTATCAAATGCAGCACTAAGATCCAACAGGACGAGCACAGATACAAGTCCATTATCTGAGGCCATGAGAATATCATTAGTGACTTTCACCAGAGCTGTTTCAGTGCTATGATGAGCTATAAAGCCAGACTGAAACTCTTCAAAAAGTTCATTATGGTGTAAGTGGTCGCAAACTTGTTTGGCAACTACTTTCTCAAGAATTTTGGATAAGAAAGGAAGATTGGATATAGGTCTATAATTAACCAAGTCATCTGGGTCAAGAGACGGTTTCTTAAGCAGAGGTTTAATTACAGCAACCTTAAAAGCTTTAGGTACATATCCCTGTAACAGAGATAGATTAATCACATCTAAAATGGAGGAGGAGATCAAAGGGAATACCTCCTTAAATAACCTGGTTGGAACTGGATCTAACATACAAGTTGAAGGC